CCACCCAGAAATTATAGTCTTGGTTCTCAAATTTTAATTCACAGTATATCTCTGGCAGCATCAGTGTTCAACAGAAAGTCGCTAGGCAAAATAAGATGTGGTATTCTTCAACATAGTCTGATTCATCTAGGTCTGGTAGTGTTCCTGCAGCAGGCAATACATAGCAGCTAATTCTTGCATAATTTATTGCCTTAGAAAAGGTGATTAGAAGAATGTTTATCAGAACCTACTTGAAATCAGATGAGCTGGACTAATAACATTAATCTCAATAAGGTTCAGGAACAAGCAGATATAAAAATAGTGCTATTTGTGAGGCTTTATGGATACTTTATGAATTCAGCAACTGAACACAGAAAAGACGATCAAAAACTCTCTAAGGGAAATGGGAAGGTAACTCCTATCAAGGAAATACTGTGTGTGGTATGTTATCATTTCTATCATCACCTTGTATTGTGAGATAATATTGCAAATACGAGTGGATTTCTATCCTTACAGGCTGTGTAGGTGCAAGATCAATTACGAATTGATAAGCATACATGTATTACCAACAAAACTGAGCGTATGTTAGTGAATGTAATGAAGTAGAAACCAAATATAATCCATAGTTAAATTTTATTATGATTCAGAGGCATAAAGGACTGGCAAAATCTCTGTAAGAGCTCTAAATCAACTAGAAGCAGCACAGACCAGACCATTAAAACGGTAGCACAATATTGCAGAAGATACACCTGAAAGTTAATATTATTTTTGTATTAAAAACCCTTGAGTTTTGTTTCGGATGCTACCGTACCTGCTAAATTGCACAGCTAACCTCCTAAAGTACCTCTGCTTTTTCCTGAACAGGTTAATAATGAAAACATCTATGTTGATGAGAACTGTACATTTTTCTGTGATACCTTAGCTGCATACAAAACATTAACTTGCTAAGATTGTTTCTTTCTGAGATAAGGAACAGATGGCTGTGTTATGTTTAAGGATATACCTTTTTGTTTCCATTATAGGAAGTCTCTTTGGCAAAAGAGAAATCAGTAGAGGTACCGTTTCAGGTTGTTATGAGGTATAGCTGCAGCATGCTGAAAATCTAGAATCATGAATTCCTTATCTTGTGAGTGATCTAGATTTATAGGGGAATCCTGTAATAATAGCAAGTACATCACTGGATGCAACTTGTCATGCCCGGAAGTGATTCTGTGTTTCAAAACGTCTGTAGCTTGCTGCAGCTGTGGTACTAATGTCTGTCTTTTTTTGCTGGAGTCACGTAAAAGCTCTGATTTCCATGTCTTGCACCCTTTTCAATCAAATGGCCATGTTTGCTGATATGGCCCTCATTTTTGTCATAGACAGCAACATGGCAACATCTTGTAGGACAGCTGTAATGTGGCAGCTAACAGGCGAAACTGGCCAGTGCATTGGCTGAGAGCAAATCAAAGCATTCCCTAGTCATCTCCACTGGCTGTTACATCTGCTCGGAGGTGCACGCACTGCTCATTTGGGTTGAACAGTTGCTGTGCTGCTAGCACAGACCATGACCTGACTGCCCGATCAGCAGCTAATGATAGTACTCCATTACTTGCTGCCTTTGACTAGCCAGATAATCTACAGTTTCACTTATCGCTGCACAGCCAACAATTATTTCTGCCTGAAATAGCATTTTCCCCTTTCACATCAGGTAAATTAGATGTTGCATCACGGAAGTTGGTGAGTTTTGCTACCTGAAAACTTCTATTAATTATGGCTAATAAGATTCTAAGATTCTTAGACAGAAGAAAAGAAATCCTATCCTTAATGTTTTTCTCAGGAAATACTTGCAATTCTGCTTATTTCATACAGTTTGAGGGAACGATAAACCTGTTCTTTGGCTTGCAAAGGGATCAAATTGGGATCTGAATCCACCACCTACTTAGATGCAAACCTTAAGAAAGATCTTAAATGCAAACTGCAGCAAATCCGAAGTACTTCAGTTTCAGGGTTCTACATGTATTTCCCTCTTAGTTTGCTGAAGTGTATTCAAAACACCTAGATATTTTTATAGTCTGAGCATCTTACTGGCTGCTGATGTAAAAAGATAGTATTTATGGGGTTCTATTATAGCACAATAAATCAAAATGCAGTTCATCAGGCCTGTATATAGAGACAAATATAACATTTCAATAATGGCATCATTATGTACTGTGTCTATAAAGACATAACAAACTATCAACATGAATTCTGAACCTGAGCTGAAAGACTAGTACATGAATGACACTTCAGTATCTGGATGGAGTTTGAAAAGGCTATTGGTTATTTTAAAAACCTGATATATTTATTATATTATAGTCATCGTACAGAGTAAACCAAAGATATTTACCTTCTTCTTTGATCTCTCTGACTTCTTGGAAATGTTCTTTACTTTTGTGTGGAGATGATATAAAACCTTGGGGGGAAAAAAGGAGCAATATATTGAATGGGAAATTCAATTGTGTATATTAGTATTTGAAATTCTCATACAAGCACCAAAATTTAAAAGAATTGCTTTAGCGTGACTTCAACCAAAGCTGAATTTGACACTTTGAGACTTCTAATTCTAAGCTCTTCACAGTTCTTTCTCCTTTAAGAAACAAAGTTTTGAAAAAGCATTACAACGGCTATGCTTCCAGAAGATGTAGTTCTGCATATACATATATTAAGAGCTCAGCTGGCACTATGCTGAAATCCACAGGAGTCTTTCCACGGATTTTGAATTTTAGGTTGTGCCTGAGATTACTGAAATTTATTCTCTAGCTTGATTATATGCAAAAGCAGAGAGTGGGCTGCCAGTGCTGAACCCTGGTGTGACTGTCCTGCCACTCCTGAATGCAGCATTAACAAATGGGGCAGTTGGAGTGGGTTCCCCTTTCAGAGGGAGAGTCATAAAGAGTCATAAGAAATGTTAGAGCACTGGAGAGAAACTCTCAGTTGACAACATCTAGATCAAGCTTTTGAAACCCGATTACAGCACGGCAGTAACCTGGCCATGTTTATACTTTGGCCTTTGGAGCCAACAGACTAAATTTTCTAAAGCAATTAATAATAATAAAAAAAGAACAAACTATTAAATGCAGCTCACCTTCCAGTTGCTGTGGTCTCACCTAGGGCAGTGAGGGGACAAATAGCTGGAGCTACAGTGACAGGAGTTAAGAGCTCTAGAGGCTTTTTCTTCTTGTGACAAGCAAGTCCTGAGGTTTAGAGATTTTTAGCTTACATCTAAGTGCATCGTCCTGTCCTTAGAACTGTTGATAGCAGAACAGATTGGTATTGAAAATTATGTATTTTTGATTAAACAAACATGAACTTAAACTCCAGAAAAAATATTTTTTTCCAAGAGCATTAGCCTGCAACTGACTAGGAAGTCCAGTCCCTGGCAGTCCCTGCACAATAGGGTTTTAACTCAAGATTTGCAGCACAGCTGCTAGCACAGCTCATGGACTTACTTTTAGTCTTAAGCATGCTAAAGATCAGTAAGGGGAAATCAAAAATTTAAGTGTTAGCAATCCACAAGAAGAAAGGAAGAGATTTGCTGACTAAAACTCTGATCCTCAGATCTCTTTTTGCAGTCTTTGCAAGAAACAGTGTCTGAGCTTTGTGTCAAAAAAAAAGGGAAAAAAAAAAAAAGGAAAGAAAGAAATCGAGGTGATGTCTTTAATACTGTTTCTGTACACTCTCTACATAGTTCCTTCCTCTGTGGGTTTTCCTGTTTTGTCAGGAACAAACATTTATTATCAAGAGAGAACAAACTGCAAAATAGGAAAACCAGTAAGAATCTTTAGGGCATTTGGGTGTCAGGCTAGGTGTCAGCTTAGCATTTGTAATCCTTTTTGTGAGCCGGTGTAATTTCATTCCCAGTTTTCCTTCCCTCCCCCTGCTTCAGAGCAGTATTCTATATCAGGAGAGAATATGCAAAGGATTGGATTTATTATTTGTTCACTAAGTAGCTTGAATGTACACATCCAAGCCACCAAAAGTCTGTGAGTGATCTTTCCCACCATTTAAACATTACTCGCGTCCCTCTCACCCACCTTGGCATAGCAGCAGGTGATGAGCACCAGGGGCAGGAGGTATCCCACCAGCAGGATGGTAATCTTGTACATCTGCTTGGCTGTTGAACCATCTGCCCAGTGCTCCCAGCAGAAGGAACTGTTAGGTGCTTGCTGGTGACCACTCATGAGGGCCTGGTGCTGGGCTACAGGAATGGCAATGAGTAGAGACAGCAGCCAAATGACACCCACGCCGAGGGCAGCGTTGCGCTTGCTGCGAATGCAGGGTGAACGCTTGGCATGGACCACAGCAATGTATCTGTCCACAGACATAGCCACCAGAGTAAAGATGCTGACCAGCATTGTTGCCATGGCCAAGTAGTGAACCCACTTGCAAAAGAAGGCACCGAAGATCCACTCTGGCAGGGAGTAGATGGTGGCCTGGAAGGGGACGCAGAAGAGCAGAAAGGAGAAGTCTGCAATGCTCAAGTTGAGGATGAAGATGTTGGTAGCGCTGCGTGATGGGCGTCCCCCAGGCCGGAGGCGCCCCAAAACAACCAACACCAATGCGTTTCCCACCATTCCCAGGAGGAAAATCAACCCAAAAAGCACTGGTACAATCACCACTTCCGGGCCACCCCTGGTTGCTCCTGACCAGCACGTTGGGGCCCATGTTTGGTTAGTCTCAAGGCTGCACTTGCTGGTGTTGGCTCCGAGGGAATGCACAAAGTTGTCTTCCTGCTCCTCCATGAAGCCAGGCTGCTTGGAAGGCAGGGAGCAGTCGCTGTAGCCCTGATTGCAATTGGGCTGGTGTTTGTTTGTTGGGGCCAGAGGCTGAATGCTTGGGTTTTCCAATGCTCCGTGTCTTTCCTTTGGGGAGCAATTTTCTTTGGAAGATTCTTCCAAGCTCTGTCTGTCTCTGCTGCAGATTCTTCTACAAACTGACAAAAAAAAAGGGGGTTGAGGAGCAGTTGCTGCCGAAGAAGCTCTCCTGGCGAAGGGCTGAGGATGAAGCTGCCCTGGGAGCTTGGAGCAGAGGCAAAGCAGCTGCAGCTCAGCTTCCTCACGCCCCTCCTCTTCTGCTTCCCTCCCACGCCAGTCCCTGGATCTGCGGTTGTTGTACCTGCTCTCCCAGCTCTGCTCGGAGCTGTGGCAGTGAGAACAAATGCTGTCTGTGACCTGAGCCCTTCAGCAAATAACCCCTGGTCAGCTCTGTCGCCATACATTACCACTCACGAGGAGGGCAAGAGCAGAGCAAAAGCCAGTTCTCATCCCAAGGGACGGGTTGAGCAGCAGCTGCTGAGTGATAGTGTGTGCAGTCCTGTGAGGAGCAGCATTGGTACTGGCTTCATGAGGAGGAAAAAGGCTAAAATATGTTTTTTATCAACAGAGTGGGTTTTTTTTTTGTTTTGTTTTGTTTTGTAGTCTTTAATGTGCTCACATTAGAGCATAAAGCAGCCTGGATAGTTGTGTTTTCAGAAAAAAAACAACTGGGAGAGCGTTAGATTCAGCAGCTGGGTCTTGCCATGTCTTGGAGATCTGCCCAAATTCCTTAGTGCCTGAATATTCATAGATCTTTTTGATCCAACTGTAAAGAAGTTTCAGGTACAGCCCAGTAGCGTCAAGAGCATCTGCACTCGAAAAGGAAAGGTTCAGTCTTGGTAGCTGTGAGCAGCTGTAATATTCCCTGCCAGGGAACAGCAATCTGGATTTAAAAAAAGAAAAAGTTTTATTAATGACAAAGGGTTAGTTATTGGGGTTTTGATGCTTACTTATAGAAACAGTATGTATGTTTTAGAAGGCAGTAAGTAACTTCGTTTTAATGGTCTGTTTCCTCATGTTTCTTACGGGATTCTGTGAACCCTACAGGCAGTAAGTGGGGAAACAAAGTTTAGGCAAACATTAACAGTACCTGCACACAGTGATTTATGCATGCAGGACAGCTTCTTGCATAGAACAGTATACACCTTGATTTTCAGTTGTTACAAGTCTAGGCACTTGGTCAGAGTGGCCTGCCACTGGCTTCTGTGGATGGGGGGGTAGACTGGAGGGAACACCTTAACTTTTGAAACAAAGTTCAGTGACTCAAAATTGCCCTGCCTTGGGACTTGTCTCTAAGCTCTTGTTGAGAGAGGTGATAGCGCTGCTTTCCTTAGCCTGCTTTGATAGGCTTGTTTAAAATCTGTTATGAAGCTAGATTCCTTATTTCTGCCCATAGTTTGGAGGCTAGTTATAGGGTGAGGTGGGGAGTGGCCAGGGAGTGAAAGTTGCCGTGGAAAATACATCTGCCCTTGTTGCATGGCAGTGCGCAGCTCACTGTGGCTGGACCAGCTACCTGGATGCCACCTGCAGCTCTCTTAGTCTTCTGTGGCCTGGCTGCCTCGTGTGCTGTGGCACAGCACCTCAGACACCATTAAGTCTTCCAGTCCCCCAAATCTTCTGTCTGTTTACTGGGATGTCTGCCCTCAGCTTGCAGACAGCTACTTGCAATGCACCACTTGCAGGGACACTGCAAGCTCTGCGGTTGTGCTGCAGATTTGAGTGCCATCTACTGGAATTTCATCTTCTTTGCTGTTTTCAGGCAGCTCCTGTGGTGGTCCTTGGCCTTTCTTTCCTTCAAACATACAGTCCCACCGTTCAATAATTAACTCTATCTGCTGTTTTCCTCTCATCCTTGTGCATGTACATACCCTTAAATTATGACACTTAAATATGCTTGCTTTTCCTTCTGTGATAATATGTGATCACTGTAAGCTTACTTCTTGTAATGCTATTCATTGAACTTCATATAACATTTTAGAGAAGGCTGTGGAAAGTGATTTCAGTAGCTATTTCTGTATTTTAGATCTGTCTGGGTTTTGGTTTTTTGCCCTTTTTCTTTACTGGGCAGTCATACCAGAAAATAGGATTTAAGAAGCACCTGTAGCAATCACAGCAAATGACAGTGTGCATTTTTTTCTTTTTGTGGGTTTGGGCAAAATAATAAAAATTACAGCAGGCATAGTTTCTACTGCGGGTGATTTGAGACAATGCATGCAGGAATTTGAGACTTGCATGCTTGTGTCAGCTGCAGAACAAACACAGCTTTGCAGATGTAAAAGATTTCATGGCACACTAAGCAAAAAATGGGCAGAGGACAGCACAGTTCTAGCCGGAGGAGGGACAGATCATAAGATTGATTAGATTTGTAAAAATTTTTTTCAAAAATCTCTGCATTCTTACAGAAGGGACGTTACCAGCTTTCCTGTCCATCTTCAGAATCCTATTCAAATTTTAAAAAAAACAACCAAAACTGGACTGCTCCAGGTTTTTTTTTCTAGATTTCAGTGAGTGTGTTATAACTGGGGGAGTGGGAGGAAAGGTGAATATTCTGGATGGAAAGTGGCAGTGACCTGCTGAATTAGACACCCAGTAAACTAGGTGCAAAAACTCAGCTTGCTTTCACTAGGGAACTGAGATGCTGCAAATCTGACTTCAAATGGAGGCTCGCTGGTGTGGGAGTATTCCTGGCTGGTCTTTCTTGGGAGGAAATAATTTCCAGCGGTAATGTACATGCTCTGCTGAAAACTTATCCTGAAACTGTGCTTACCGTGGCATTCAAAAGTTCCAAAAAAGGTAAAGATTTCTTCTTCTGTTCCCCTCTTTCTGCCACTTCTCAACTGCTATAAATGGTGGTGTTTTGACAGGGAGAAATCCCCTGTCCTTGAGAATTCACAGCCCAAATGCAGTTGGAAGGGAACTGACGATGCTGAGACAACATACTTGCCATAAGACATATTCATTAGTCCAACTAGAAGAAGATCAAATCACTTTATTGAGTGCAGGAGTACAATATAGCAAGTGAATCTGTAAAGCCTGGTTTGCTGGGAGCATCCACGTTGTGTGTGGCGCTTTAAAATACACGGTGTGTCACCTGAAAACCAAAAGCAATTAATGCACCGTGGATTGAGCTGCATGAAATATCTGAGCTCTACAAATTCTGCTGTTCTTTAGACACTCTGTTGCTTCCTGGATGAAGACGACAAACATTTAAACATGAGTAAGAGGATGCAGGAAAAGGAACCTGAATATTCTTCTGTGGAAGGAAAAAAAGGTAGAAGTCTGACAGGTATCAGCTTGATCAAGACTGAACTGGAAGCCAGACACTTGCCTGTGTCCGAGTTAATGTTGTTGCTAAATGAAAGCATTGGACTCGCATGCTGAGTTCCTGACTAAACAGGCATCAGAGGTGTCATGTTGAGAGAGGACAGCACTTGACCTCTATGGATAAATAGGCAGTCCCACAGTAAGGAGAAAAGAGGGAGAATGTCAGCCCTAGGAACAAG